GGCCCTCCCGCGCCCTGGAGGACCTGTGGGTTGCGACGTTGACACCATTTGTGGGAATTTACGTTTGGGAATCGAATCGTACACCAGGGTTCTTAGGTGGGAAATGGATTTCGTTCCACAGTACCACTCCTTTCCTACCAGTTGGCAAGTTTTACTCGGGGCCTTTTTGAGAAGATCAAGCTCGACACCACCCACTTGCTCAGGTTTCTGGCCCGTCCCTTCGACAATCAACAAGAAGGGATGTCTGGCTTTGCCACATCCTCTTGGCCTTTTTGGTGTGGCTTCTAGCTTCGTTAGATTAGAGAAATCTCCTTGAAACCAAAGGAAGCGACAAAACATCGCGAGCATCAGATCTGGCGGTTTGCAGGTTCGTGTTGGGGGTCCCCCAAGAACAGACAGACCCAATATAATATATATATATATATACATAGGATGCCAAGGATGCCGAGCTCAGACACGGGCTTGTAGTCCTCTGATTGACTGACCACAGGACCTGAGGAGAGTCCGAGTGCTGTACCGCCAGCCTGTTACAGGAGTCACGGTCGGGTCGGAAGGCCGCCCGTTTGTTTTGCCTGGCTTCACAACAACAACACCATTCTGCCTGATCGGCTCAAAATCCAAGGTGTTGTACTTGCAACCTGCCAAATACTGCACAACATGCTGAAGCACTGCAAATGCAGTGGCGAGGATGTTCAGTCGGTGCCTGTGTTCGGACGCGCAAGGGTTTGCTGCTTCCACCTTGGAAGGGTTCAAGCGACCCTTCCTCCAACGGAAGCTGACGATTGGGGCGAAGGCGAAATGATTGAAATATTTGCCTTTTGGGGTTTAGGCCCCAAAGCTCTCCACCTGCATTGTTCTGGGTGAATTACAACGACCTCACACGACCGAATTCACCCCAAATGGTGGTTTATGTGGGGAATAGCCATTCAACCACCGCAAGTTTCAGGCTGGTGAAATATTATTGTGAACTAGAGGGGTTCATGTATAGGCAATCAAACCATGCACAATGGAGCCGTTTTTGTGTCGAGGAAAAGACCGCTTCTGAATAGCGGCACCACAGGTTATGAGCCCAAACCCCTAAAACAGGGGCCCTCGCTTGGCAATGGAACCGACAAGGGCATCAGGAAGTGGAGAACCTCGAGAAAGGCTCGATTCTGCCGATGGAGAAGAACCGGAGGTGGAGAGCCTGGAGATCATAGGGCAGGAAATGGTGCCCTATGCTGGAGGCAGAAGGCCTCCGAGGAGGATGGTGGAGGTGGTGAAGCCGCTTGAGCTCACGGCAACACCACTCAAGCCAGGCCAGGGCGAGGAGGAACTCGAGGAGCCTCCACGCAGGTGGCCAAATGGACCGGAAGGAGAGCCAGAAGCCATGAAGCCTCTGTTCACCCCGGAGCAGCTCAGAGAGTTCAACAAGTGGGACGAGAAAGCACCGTTGCTGAGGGGACCGCGGATGGACCAACCGAGGCCGGCGCACTTGCCCGTGGAGAGTAACCTGGAGGGAGACACTCCGGGTGGTGGCCAACTTCGACCGAGGTACCTACCCATGGAGAATCCGGAGCCGGAGGGCCAGATGATGAAGATGATGGTGGCGTCTCAGGATACGAGGACGACACCATCGGCACCGGGAGTGGACCCGGTCTACCTCATGCAGATGATGCAGGAGCTGATGACGCGGAATCAGAGGCTTCAGCATGAGGTGGAAGTGTTGAAGAAACAAGGAAAGGAGACAGACGCTGACTATGGCACGCCGGAGAGCCGGGAAAAGGTGAACGGCATGAGCACGGTCAGGGACAATCAGAACCACGAGCCCTACGGCCCGACCCGCGACCACTCGAATGGCAAGGGCGGAGAAGGCAGACGTGGGGCTGGTGGTGAAAAAGGAAATGCTCGGGATGAGCAGGATGGCGGTGCCTCGGAAAGGGCAAGTGATGTGGCTGGATCCGGAAAGGACGGCCACCAAATGGACGTAATGCTGAAGCTCATGGAGGGCATGCAGATGATGCAGAAGCAGCTCCTGGAGCAGAAGGAGAAGACGGAGACCATCGAGACGGTCAAGGCGGGCTTCGCGGAGTTGCCTCGCCTGGGCGAGTTTAGCCCGGAGAATGGTCCGATAGAACTAGGGGACTGGTTCACCATCATCCATCCCCTGATGTCGGACCTGAGTGACAGCTCGATGGAATGGTGGGACCTACTCTTAAAGGAGGCCCGCGAGTGGTACGAGGAGTACATGAAGGAGATCCCGCTGAACAGGGTCAACATGGTGCCCAAGACGCCTGAGGTGTTGGGGGTACGGAAATGGAGTCGGTTGGAAGGCGGGCAGCTTCGCTCATCATCCAGGCGGTTCCGGAGACGGTGAGAGACGAGATGATCGCCACGAATACGGTGTCGGCATACGGGGCGATCTGTAGGCTTCTGGTAGTGTATCAACCAGGAGGCCTTGGAGAAAAAGGAGTGGTCCTACGGGCGTTGGAGGAGCCGGTGGAAGCTGCTACGATCCCGGAGGCACTCAAGAGTTTGAGAAAGTGGCTGAGGTGGAGGCGGCGGGCGGGCGAGATGAACTTGGCGTTGCCAGACCCTACGGTGATGATGAGGGGCCTCAGCAAGATGATTCGGAAAGTGGTGGAGACGAACCGGGAGCTGACGTTCCGGATTTCCCTTGCCCGGAACACGCTGCGGGTGGACAGCGTGCCGACGCATGGAACGGTGCAGCAGTTCGCGGAGCATGTCTTGGCCGAATTGGAACAGGGCAACCAGGGGTGTGAGAGAAAGGTGACAAAACCCGTGGACGCCAAGATCCGGAAGGTCGAGACAGAGAAGGAGCAGGCGACGGGACGTAGAGACCTAGTTTGCAGGTTCTACATGAAGGACACCGGCTGCAGAAAGGGCCGGAGTTGTGAGTGGCAGCACCCCACGGATGAGACCGCAAGAGGACGCTGCTGGGAGTGTGGATCAGTGGAACACATGAGGAAAGACTGCCCCAGAAAGCAGAAGCCGACATCACCAGAGAAGCCGGCGGCTGTGAGCAGGGTGGCCCAGGAAAACGACGTGGCGACGACACCGGCTTCGGCATCTTCACCCAAGAAGGAGGAGATCAAGCCGACCCGGGAGAAGGAAACGGTGGTGGAAGATTCGAAGAAAGACGAATCTATGGGGGGGGTGTTGCAGGAAGCAGCAAAGATGCTACGGAGCCTCAACGCCTCGCAGGGAGTCAAAAAGGTGGACGAGAGAAACGACCGCTTGGACGACCTGCAGAAACAGTTGAATGGGTTGAGATCTGGGTCTCTCAAAAGGGCCCAGGTAAAGGCTCAAGGGAGGTGGAGTGATGGTGGGCTACTGGACTCGGGAGCTACGCATCCCCTACGTGCCCGGCAAGAAGGTGAAGACATCGAGAATCTGGACGAGATCGATGTTGCCCTGGCCGGGGGAGAGATGAAAGTCATGCGGATCACGGAGGGAGGCATCATCGTCCAGGAGAACGAGGGCGTGGGCTCCATCATTCCGTTGGGTCTGCTGGTGGAGAGGTTGCACTGCGTGGTGACGTGGGATGGGGATGAGTGCCGCGTGGTACATCCAGAGCTGGGAGCGTTGCGGATTCACATGGAGGATGGATGCCCTCATGTGACCCAGCGGACGGCGACGAAGTTGCTCGAGGAGCTTGAGAAAAAGGGGAAGGAGAAAAGGAAGGGCCGGATTAGCGAAGTAAAGCTAAAGAAGGTCCTGGACTGGGAAACGGTCAAAAAGGCGGTGGCTACATCCTGCGTTTCGTGACCTACCGGAGGAGGCGCGAAGGAAGATTCTGGTGGAGCCGGCGGAAACATTGCGGGCAATCCCATGGAATCGGAGACGGAGAAGGTCCTTGGAGCAGAAAGGCCGGAAAGCCATCCTGCACCTATACGCGGGACCCCGTGAAGGATACACCCTGGAAAGGGCGGTGAAGGAGCTTGGAGGCGACCACATGGACGTCTTGGAGATTGATCTGCAGCGTGGGCCGGAGCACGACATGATGTCGGACGAGCTCTATGCAGCACTGCTGCGGGGCGCGTTGGATTCGCGTTTCGATGCGGTGGTGGGTGGACCGAATTGCCGGACCAGGAGTGTGCTCCGACATTATCCACTACCTGGCGGTGGTCCACGACCGGTGAGGTCACCGGAAGAACCGTTTGGGAGGAGCGACCTCACGCCGCATGAGAAAAAGGCGGTCTGGGAGGACGACGTGATGATGTGGCGGATGTTAGCCATCTACCTGGTGGCGGAAGAAGCGCGGAATGCGAAGGGAGGCCCACAGGTTGGCTTCGTGTTGGAGCAGCCGGCGGATCCCAGGAAGTACATGCCTGGATGCCCGACCTTCTGGGGGACGACCCAGTGGGAAGCATTTGAGGAGATGGAAGGCATGGCCGAGTACGAGTTCTACCAGGGGGACTTCGGAGGAGCGGCGCAAAAGCCGACGACATTGAAAACCAACCTCTACATCGACCTGCCTGAGAGAAGGGTGACCGGGCTGGTGTCAAGAGCCCGGATGGAGGAGGTGGACCTCAGAGACTCGAAGAACCTCGCAAGGTGGGCTCCAGGACTCATGAGAGAAGTGGCGAGAGCGATTCTGACGCAGGTCAGGAAGCAGGTGGTGAAGCTGCGGAAGCTGAGTTGGCAGGAGCACATCGCGGCGGGACATTGCCCGATGAGGAGGGACTGCCGAGTTTGTCAGGAGGCGAGTGGTCAAGACCGACCCCATAGGAGGATCAAGCACAAGCACGCCTACTGCCTTTCGTTGGATTTGGCCGGACCGCTGAAGAAGGGAAGAGACATCGACGGGCGGAGCTGCAAGTACATGCTTGTGGGCGCGTACACATGGCCGAAGAATCCGCTGAAGTCTGAGGAGATCCCGGAGAAGGAACGAGATGGAGGTGGAGAAGCTGGCAAGGCGAAGGGTCTGGAGGAGGTCAAGAAACCGGACCAACCCGGGCAACGACCGGAGGACTACTGGACCACCAGCGCCAACGGCAAGTACGTGATCAGGGTACACAAGAGCCACCGGAAGGTAAGGTTCTTCCCTGATGATGCCCCAGGATGTCCGGTGCCTGTGGAGCGACTACGGGGACGGAGGAGGACCATAGCACGGACAACTAAGGATGGTCCGTTGAAGATGTTCATGGACGATTGGAGGAATGCCGAAAAGACGGAAAAGGTCTTTGAGGACGAGAGCCGATGGGCCGGGCGGACGATCTTCCAGCTACAGCTAGAGGGCCCGGAGGAGGAAGAGCCTCAAGAAGAAGAGAAGGAAGAAGGAGACCCTGATGATCCGGCTGATCCAGAACCCTCAGAAGGGATCTGGGACTTCGAGCTGGAGGAGTTGGTCGGAGAACAGGAAGATGGAGAGATGGAAGAAGGCGACCTGGACGAGTACGAAGAGGATGAGGAGAAGAGAGAGGAGCCGCTGGAGATTGAAGTCCACACGCTGGCAGTGCCTCTCTCGACGAAAGGAGGCAAAGAAGTTTTGGACGCCATACAGACGATGTATCTGGAATTGAAGCGCCAAGGTTTTCCAGTGGCGCGATTGCATAGCGACAGGGGCAAGGAGTTCATGAACCATGCCTTGCGCCGGTGGTGCTTCAACCGAGACATCGCGAAGACGAGTACGGCGGCAGACGATTGGAGATCAAATGGGCGAGCAGAAGTGGCCATCAAGCACTTAAAGTCAAGAATGAGGAGAGTGCTCTTTGCAGCCGAGGTGGATGGACAGTGGTGGCCAGCTGCAGCTCGGTATGTGGTGGAGAAGGAGAAGAGAACAAGGCAGAGAAAAGAGGGCACGATACCCAGATTCTGCCAGGAGGTAATGGTGAAGAAAAGGAAGTGGAAGTCGGAGGAGCTGGGCCCAAGGCACGTCAAGGGGAAGTATTTGGCCCCGGTGGTGGACGTACCGAACGGTCACGCAGTGATGAGAGAGGATGGAACAGTCCAGGTGGCTGCCTATGTGCTGCACCACTGGAAACCTTTTCCGGAGCCAGTGGACGGGTGGCAATTTGTGGAACGGAGAGGTGATGAGGGAGAAGAGCGCGAGCCGGAGGAACCCTATCGTGTCCGGAGGAGGATAAGAGATAAGACCCAAAAGAAGGTGTTGGAAGACGAAGGGGTTCAGGTTGCGGGCGCTCAGATCCACAATAGAGGAGGAGGAGAAGGCGGTGACGAACGACGAGCCGGAGGTGATGGACATTGTGGTGAAAGCCCTAGAAGGTTTGAAGAAGGAAGAAGAGGAGTTGAGGAGCAGCACAGAGGTGGAAAAAGACGAGGAGCAGATACTCCAGACCAAGATCGTCAGTGCCAAGGAGGTGGAGATGAACTTGGAGGATTGGAAGGCACCCATGAAGAAGGAGCTGGACACCATCGTGGAAGAAAAGGGTGCAATCACCAGGCTCAACCCGGCATCGGCGAGGGAGCTGCTGGAGAACAACCCACGGGTGCAAGTACTACCCGGGAAGGGGGTGTTCACAATCAAACCAGGAAGGAAGCGTAAGTGCCGACTGGTGGTGTGCGGCAACTACGGGGAGTCTCACGAGGCCATGCCGCTCGGTTCGCGGGTGGCAAGGAGGCACCGTGGACGTGAAAGGAGCCTTCCTGAATGCCCCGCTGCAGGCAGTTGGCCATGCGACCGCCGGCAGTACTGGTCCGGATGGGGTTGATACCAAAAGGGGAGCTGTGGATCGTCAACAAGGCAATGTACGGCCTACGGCAGAGTCCGAGGTGTTGGTCGGACGAGGTGGAGAATCAGCTATGGTAAGCGTTGGCTGAAGTTGGAGCAGATGAGGAGTGAACCGAATCTGTGGCTGGTGAAAAAGGTAGAGGACGACTTGAATCCGGAGGAGCTGGTCGGCCTGCTACTAGTCTACGTGGACGACTTCATGCCGTTGGGCATGGAAGGAGTGCCTCAAGCCCTCATGGAGAAGATCAAGGGCACGTGGGAATCATCAGAAGAGAGCTTCGGCAAGGAGCCGGTAAGGTTCTGCGGGGTGAACATCTCTGTGACGGAGCAGGGGATCACCTTGGACCAGATGGACTACATCAAGGAGATCATCGATCGGAACAATGTCACTGGCAAGTCGGTGATCCCCATGAGCAAGGAGTGCAGCGAGCCAGAGGCAGAGATTGGGATCACGGCGGAGGAGATTCAGACGGGTCAGCGCCTGGTGGGTGAGTTGATTTGGCTGGTCACCCGGAGTAGACCTGACCTGGCCTACGTGGTTTCGAGAATGTTGAGTTTCGTGTCCAAGGCTCCACGATGGGTGCAGAGAACCGCGACCCAAACACTGCGGTACCTCAATGCGACCAAGACGGAGGGCATCCTGCTGGATAGGGACATGGGGGAGGACACAGATGGAAGAAAGAGTAGAGGAGCGGGCTTGGAGGTCATCACAGATGCGAGCTTCGCGCCAGGATCAATGCTGGCGTGGAGATCTTCGAGGCAGAGCTTCCCTACACTGTCGACGGCCGAGTCCGAGCTGATGGAGA